AAAAAATATGGTTGCTTGTTAGGGAAATCTGACAAGCAACTTCGTTTCTTTATTTATGTTCGCCGTATTCTCCAATGAATGACACTCTGTCTGCTCGCCATTAATAGCCAACCAGTGCAATAATATAAATGCTGCAGCGTAATTTGCCAAATGTTCCACCCCCTCCTCGGAGAAAATCACGTTCAAAAAGAAGGCGCATGCCGTGACGCTGTAATCCAAGCGATGACAGAAGTAGACGTAGAGGAGTGGGACGACGGATGACTTTCTTTTAGCCTATTTTTTTATTTTTACAATGTTTTTGTAATGTATTAATTATCACGGGCTGTAATAAAAAACAAGTAGTCATATACTAATACTAAGAGTAAATATGGTTCGAATAGCCTATATTTTAGTAGGCTATAAATATGTGGCTATGTTACAGCTCCCCTTTGAAGCTCTTGTGTTTTTCTCCTTTTCCATCTCTCCAATCCTATTCTGCACACAGGTGATTGGAGATTAGTTTTGTTCCCATTTTTGTTGCAGTTGGCTGATTTTTGTAAAATAGCTTCTGTTTTTGCTTTTCAGATAAAAGAGTGGTTTCAGTTTAATATGTTGCAGGCTCATTTATTGGTAATAAATAATTGATAATAAATAATATTAATGATAATAAATCATCCAAAAAAAAATTGGGCTTGTTTTTGAAGCTTGCTTATTTGTCTTGCAAGAGTTGGCAACAGTGGAGACCGAAGCAGGTGGCTCCTAGCAGGAGAACGACCAGCCAGGACAAAACCAGGAGCACGTTCCTAAACGAGGGACTACATCTGTAGCATGGACACGCGTTTTTAAGCGCTGCAGTTTTAAAACAACCGATTTCAAGCCATTGAAACTATGGGCTGTCGCGATTCGTCGATTTTATTCGACTATTCGATTTTTAAAAAAATCCTCGACTTCATTTTGCTCGCGTGGACTAACCGGCAAAATACCAGAAGTGGCGCATTTCACGGACGAGAATCCATAAAACACATTATTAGACTGTTTCCCAAGGCTGCATGATATATTAAACCCATTTAAAAATCATAATTAAGCATAATTGTCAATTCACAAACGCTACGATTTAATTAAATAATTAAATGCGATGCAGTTCTAATACAGTATGCGCTTTAATTATTTATATGCGTGTAGGTTAAGTACGTGCGTCACACAGCGGCTCCGTTCACAGTA